TTTTTACGACTTTCTTTCTAAACATTTTTTTATTACTCAAAAATAAATTTTAAATAAATGGTTGCATTAAAAATTTTTGCAAGACGTAAGTTAAACTTTTTTTTTATAACGCAAGTTAAATCACAGCAATTATTTTTTAATAAATGATACAGAGATATAATTTCAAACAAATGTTTGAAAAATTAATCTTTGCTTTCACAACAAAATCATTAATAAAATAATAAACTTTTAATAAATAAAGTAAACTAATTAACGCAATTTTTTTATTTGTTACTCTCTAATTTTTTTAAAATATAAAACCATTTGTAGTTGCAAAGCTGCAATTAGAAATTTAAGAAATAATCATTTATAATTCAAAAATTTAACATATTTTTATTCATTTATGCAAATGTTGAGAAAAGAAAGAAATTTATTAATATTAAACATTTTTAAAAATGTGATATTAAATTTAATTATTTAATATTAAAAAAAAAGAAAAGAAAATAAACATTCCCATATAGTAATAATAAAAAAGAAGTTAAATAATATTTAACGTAACTTTTTTATTTTTTACTAATTTTTTTTAAATTAATGTTATTGCAGTAGTTTAAAAAAGTGAATTGCTCTAAAAAATAAAAAAATAAAGAGAAATTCATGACATCAACTTCACATTAGGCTATTGCGTTAAGCATTTTTTATTTAAAACAAGGCCTGATACCTACTGATAGGCAGTGCTAAATCTTTGTTACTTTTATGTTCTTAGGGTAACCACTTATGGAAAAAATCAAAATTATACTTGAAAAAATAATTAAACATTTATAGCAACAACTATATTTTTTTTGAAAAAATAATAATTTACATTAACTTTAAAAGCATATAAGATAGCATAAACAGATGTCATAAAATAAGAATAGATAAGGAGGTTCTATATTTAATCACCAACAAAGAGAAAAAGACCTATACTATATCTTATGACATGATTGTAGCCCTTTGACTTTTTTTTTTTAAAAAACTTTCTAATTTTGACAACAATTTTTCAAAATTAGAAAGTTTGATGTATGTATATATAGCTGTACAAAAAATGTGTATTAGCATGCATTTTTGGCAACAAGTTTTTTTGGCAACAAGTTTTTTTTGGCATGCATTTTCGGCAGTAAGTTCTAAACACATTATTATTAAACTATGCAACAGTCATTACTGGTTATGATCACGAATATTAAACTATGTAGCAGTCATTTATATATACATTTAAAATTTGATTTAAATCAATAATGAAAATAGTAAGATTCAATTAACTTCTAAAAGTTGTTCCATTAAAAAACTTAAAAACAAAATGTTTTCACTTTCAGAACATCTTATTAAACACAAATAAGTGAAAAAGGCATACTTATCAAACCTGAGGTTAAACAAAGACAACAACATATTGCTAAACAGAAAGTATGACAATATCTTTTTAAGAATCTGAAGAATTCAAAAGATTATGTCAAGCAAAAAATCTTTGGTTTTGTTCAACCAAACTGAAATTATTGGGTTTTTTTTTGTTTACATAAAATCCACGGACAGTCAAAATTTGAAGCCAATCTGAGATGGATATAGGTCCATTAGGTGATTTGATATGTAATAACCCTAATTAAATTCAAAACAGATAGAATAGTTGTAATAAAGTGTGACAATATTAATAAATACTTTGTCCTTTTACTGCTAAAAAGTTTTGACTTGTAAAGTGTACAAATGAAGTAGAATTTTTCTTAACGTTATATTTTTATTTATTAATTTTTAATTACTTCATTTCCTTTTCAAAAAAAATTATTTAAAGATAAAAAATTGTATTAGAAAATGTAATTGTCAAATGTAATTCAACAACATTTTTATTTAACATAAGTTATTTAAATGAAGTACTAGATTACTCCAGGTTACACTCGCTAAAAAGTCCTATACTTGCTATAAAGTTGCTATATTCTTGGAGTTCCAAGTAAAAGACTTTATGATGAATGAATTGAAAATTTTTTTTAATTTAATCATTAAATTAAATGAAATTATGTAAAATTTATTTAAAAAAATGAAACCTTCATTATTTAATGCATTTTAAAATTTATTTTTATATCAAATGAAATATTGTTATTTTTAAATTTATTTTTAATTTTATACCAAATAAAATGTTATTTTATACTAAGAGGTTTTATGTTAGCTTAGTAAGAAAAAAAAAATTAATATAGGGGAGAGTGGGGCACCATGAAACATTGTAATTGTGTAGGCATTTTAAGACTTATGTTAACCATTTTCATATGGTGAAACCAGGAATGCGAAGTCAGAGTCCAAGGAGTCCCTGTTTTTACCTTAAGTCCGTAGTACCACCCCTTATAAAAATTGTCAGGACACTGGGATTTTTTAATTTTAAAGGGATCTCCAAGTACCAAGACAAGTTGTGTTCATACCATAGATAAACATTAGAAAATAAAAGTCAATTTAACTTTTCAAAATAAATTATTGAAGAAGATATTAACAAAAGCATTTGTTGTTTTAACATTATACTTTTGGTTGAGAACCTAATTTTAGGCTCTCAAACCTGCATAGTTTTTTCCATTAAAAAAAAACTTCTGGTTTCAATGTTTTTGCTCATCACAGAGTAAACTCCTTTCATTTTTACACAATTAGGTTAGGCTTTCCTCTTCATATTTAGTCTGCGGTGGTTATAAAAAACATTTGCTGTAGCATGTTTTTGTTTTTTGTTCAAAGTATTTTTAAGTGTTTGAGTGAGAATAAACTAGCATAATAAAAATAGTAAATTAGCGAAACAAACTTCAAAATACACGAGATGAATATTTGTCTTAAAAATAAGGTCATTAATTTTTTTATATACAACAAAAAGTACAATATAATCCAAATTGGTTAAATTTTGAAAGATTTAAAAACCTTTATTTTTTTAATAAATTTAGAAAACCATTTTAAAAATGATCTTATACATATTTTTAAGTTATGTTTATAATAATTTAATTTTCTCAACAAACCGTTTTTAAAATAATAAATATATTTTTTTTAGATATATGTAAAATTGATATTAAAAACTTGAACCTTATATTTTTGTTCAATCGCCAAAAGAGAAACCCCTGCATTTTAAACTTTATTAAATTTTTTGAAAGAAACTTTTTTGATTGATGCCAAATATAAGCACATCAGTTTTTATAATTTAATATTATGCGAAAAGTTGTTTAAATAAAATAACATGTTACATCTAACGATTGTTTAACAAATATGCACATTTAAAAGTTTAAAAAAAGTCTCTTAGCATCATTTCGCAGTAACGTAAACAAAGGAAAAAATAATAAAATAAAGTTGTTTATTTAAAAAGTTTATATAATTTTTTTTTTATTTAAAGACATTTATAATAAAAAATACATACTTATATAAATATAAAAAAATATATATTAATCATTAATATTTTTGTAAAAAATCATTAGCAGTGATTTGTTTCTTTATTTAAATGTGTTTCAATAATATAAAACATAAGTAAAGATCAAAGTTATTTAAATTCAAACAGCTTTCAAAAAGTTTTTTTTTTTTTCTACTTTCTCTTACTTTTCTATATTTCTACTTTTTTAGTTAATTAACTTTAATGATTTTTATATAAAGTTTTTAAAGAGACTGTCGCTGTTTAAAGTTGTCGCTTATAAAATTTAAATTTTTTTTTATATAATTTTTACTTTTTTTAATTTACTTATAAAAAAAAACCTTATATAATTAAAATAAAAATTTATACAACTTTCAATGATAATTTAAATCATTAGCTACTTTATTTAAAAGCGTTTTGCAAATATAAAAACGTTTGAATTAAATAACTTTGATCTTTACTTTTTATATTATTGAAATGCATCTAAATAAAGTAATTTTAGTTATTTTGATTTTAGTTAAGTTATTTTTATTTTGTTTTTTGTTATTTTTTTTACAAAATTTATTTGCTTCTTTTAATAAGTTTTTTTTTTAATAAGTTTTTTTTTAAAGTTTCTTTATAGTTAAGATTTTTTAGCACATTTTCAAAACGTATACAAATTTTCCAAACATATTAACAGCCATGGTCAAGTTAAGTAAAATCAAATAATATTTGTGTTGTCATATTATGACGTGAAATCGCATGCTTTCCTGGCCAAGCCTGTATAAACCATTCATTCATGTATTTGCAATTTTCATCAAAACTTACGAGAAAATAAATAAAATGATTTAGAGAAAAATAAAACAAATTGACTAAGTGCAGATAAAAGAAAAACTGTTCATAGTTAAATACATAATTTATTATTATTAATAAAATAATATATAAAACTTTTATATTAAAATAGTAATAAAATAAAAACTTCAATCGTTTAAGAAAAAAGGATTTTCAACATCGGTAAAATAAAATTAATTTAAATAAGTGAAGTAAAGAACTTAATGATTATAGTTTTAGTCATTACGTATACGTTACATAATGTTACATGCAGGGATGCGAAGTCCGGAGTCGGAGTCCGGAGTCGGAGTCCATGGAGTCCCTATTTTAGCCCGGAGTCCGGAGTCTCGGGAGTCCATAAAAATTTTAGGACTCCAGGACTCTTTTTTTTTTTTTTATAGTTATTAATATGCATAAGAAATACCTGATAGTCTTGTCACAAAACACTGTAAAAGAGCATTTGACCGGAAAGCTCATCTCCTTCCTTACTAATTCGAACCAATACTCAGATTGAGTATCGGTTAGAATGTTACGCCTTGTTAAGAGGCGTTACCAAGCTCGCATTTTACGTGCGAAAAGGCCATATGCTTATGCGTTCAGCAGTTTAACGTTAAGAGAAAACTTTCTTCTTTTAGAAAATTTAATTTTTATTTTGATATCGTTGATGTGACGTTTATTCAGAAAATATAATGTTGTAAATAAAAGTATTTAACCGCAATTGCGATCTAATAGTTTTTTTTGTTAAAGAAACTGTTTAAAAATTTTTTTTCTGTTAAATTTAATTAAAAAAAATAAAGTGTTTTAACTTTAAAAATTTCATGATATTTAATGTTAAGTTTTATATTAAGTTAATAAACTTTTATTCGCAAATTATTTTCATTTTATATGTAACAATTTTTGTTTATTTATTTATAGTTTTAAAACAATTAATTTTTTTATCCCGTTAAGAAAGTACTTATGATTAACTGTTTATTTAAGTATTTCCTCATCATCAAATTTCGAGACCCAGGGACAATTTTCCTAAAAAGAGAGGAAGTTAACATTCGACACTTAAATATTTTTTATAAGACATTAGTCACTTTTGAAGGATTCATCCTCCTCATTTTATTCACAAAATCGCCACTGGCTAGACCTGCAGATAAAGATATGTTTGAACGCTTAGTTGTTTTATTATTTTTTAATATTTATCAAATTTAGAGATAAATGATATTTTAGTGTTGAAGTTGCTTTTATGCATAAGTTTTTTCGTTATCTTTAATTTTTTAGATTGATCATAGAAAGAAAGTCGATTAGAATAGATTAACTAGGTTATGAGCAGTAGACAAATATTTTACCAAAGTCAAGTTCTTTAAAAAAAAATTGTCGATATATTTTTTGCTTTGTTTAAGCACTGTTTAAAACTGTAAACTATAGTAGGAAACTATACTTATAAATAAATGAAGCTTGTAAATACTATTAGAAAAAAATATATATCTTTTTATTTCTTTTAATTTCAACCCAAAATGGCATGACTCTGTCTAAGAAAATAAAAAGTCTACTCTGCTAATAAAATAAAAAATTTTATTTTAATAACGCCTAATGAAAAATTGTAATGAAAGCAATATGGTTTAGATACGAAAAGCAATCAAATTTCACTAGCAAATTAATTATACGCAATAAAAAAACAAATTTGTCTGTGAGTTTGCGCTATAAAATCAAGCTAACGATCTAGACAGTTGGCAAAAAACGTACCATCAAGGTCAGAAAGAAGCCAAAAAAAGCTTATAAAAATACCTCAACAAATAAATAAAAATTATTTTGCACAGCAATTTCTTTTACAGAAAAACTACTAACGTCATCGATTCATAACTAGCCATTGTAACAGCTTTCCTAACTATGTTTTCGTGGGTTGTTTTACAAAAAATTAATTTTGCGAAGCATATATAACACAAAGAAAATACATTACATGTTCACAATAACTTGCAATAACAACATTCTTTCTTTAAAATAATATTTGCTATTAACTCGCGTGTATCAATCTTGACCAGTAATGGCCACTAACTATGCATCAGATACGATCTACAGACACTTTCATCGCACAAATAAAATTTTGAATGGATGCAAAGTAGTATGCTTCAAATGTCTTGTACCCGAAAAAAGTAAAAGTAACGAGTTATGTGGTAAAGAAATTACATGTGCCGCAAAAGCTCGCATTAGCAACCTTATACGACACTTATCTAGAAAACATGCGGAGCTCCTCATTACGTTAGAAAAAAAAAAATTAGAAAAAAAAATAGAAGAAAAGAATAAGAAGCAAAAATATACAGCCATCAAAGGCAGCACTTCACAGCAATCCATATTAAAGTGTTTTGTACCACAGCAAATTAGTTTGCATATTACAAAAGATGAGTTTTTAGAAGCCTTAAACCAGCTGGTTTTGGTTGAAGGTCTTTCATTCCAGGTTCAATTTATTTTTTCGTTAGTAATTATTTTTTAATTAAAAAAAAAAAATCTAGACAGTTATATGTTTTTTTGGCATTTTTAAATTAACATTTATCATTCTAAAAACAATATCTATAGGCGTTTGATCGGGAACCTATTCAAAAGCTTTGCGGAAAAGTTTCATCTCATTTTGGATTTAAAATGAATAGAGATAATATGAGAATTCAAATTATCGATCTTGCCAAAAAGCATCGCGAACAAATCAAAAACAAATTAACGAAAATGCTAATTTATTTGAAAGTCGATTCTACATCAAGGCATATGCGTCACTACCTCGGTATAAATGCCCAATACTCGAACAATGATGAAATTGCTGTGATCAATCTTGGCACGATTGATACAAAGGGAAAACAAACGGCGGAATACACAAAAAAAATTATTGAGAAGTGTTTAGATAAGTTTGGAATCAATAAAATTAATATTTTAGGCCTCAGTGTTGACAACGCAGCAGTGAGTAACATATTTTGAAATTCACTATATTTTTTGTTAATAAAAAAAATTTTAAATTATGTGATTAAAGTTATTATTTTCCATAAAATCATTTAAAAATTAAACTATTTTGATAAAATCTTTTGTATACTGTAAGGTTCACTAAACTTTAACTATTGAAATCATATTTAATATCCTTAGGTGAATATAAAGTTGGTGCGCGACTTTGGCATCAGCGCCGTTGAAGATATTGGAGATGACGAAGACGATTTTTCAGTAGAAACTGATGAATTTGACGAAGATGGTTATTCTAAAGCAGACAATGCGGAAGCAGTCTTGGCAAGTGGAGTTGCCAGTAGCATGAGTGTTATACATCTTCAAAGATGTGCTGTCCACACTTTACAGCTAGCCGTAAATGATGCATTGAAAAGGCCCACAATAAAAAATCTAATTAACCATGCCAGAGATGTTGTCAAAGCTGCAAGAAATTCGAAGTGGATTGACTTCTTCAGAGACCAGACTCCACATCTCATTCCAATTTTAGATCAGGCTACCCGTTGGTCTAGCCAGTTCAATATGATTGAGAGGCTAATTAAGGTAAGTTATAACTTATAACTTCTAAGCTTTAATCAAAGTGTATAAGCCAGTTTTCTCACCGGTATAATATAAATCCAATTATTTCAATGGTAATGACATTTATACTACTTAATAATTTTTAAATGTTAGTTTATGTAAATATTTCTTTAATAATCCTCTTTATTTAAGTAGTTAATAACTTTGTACATATATTTAATGAATTCTTCTGTTCTTCTAGATTCGACCAGTAATTCAAAATCTAAATATGCAAAAAGAAGCTCCTAAAGAATTTAATGTGCGACCATGTTTTTGGGGTATGTGGGAGGAATTGAGAGATGTATTGCATATGGCACGCGATCTTACTATTCGTCTTCAACGTGAAAATATCACCGCAGGCGAATTTCTTTTTGATTGGAATTCAATTAAGTGTGAACTTGACGGGAAGGACAGTGACTTAGCCAAAGATTTCCAAAAAGGAATGGATAATAGAGAAAGCGCGCTACGCGAAAATCCGTTGTTTCTTGCAGCAGTTTACGTTGATATTAGGCATGGCTGTATGCTAACAGCGACTGAAGACAAGGTTGTTTTTTTAATAAAATTTTATTTATATATATTTATTTATTTAACTTTAAAAAATACATATTCCAAAAAGTATAAATACTTCTATAGATAACTGCAGCTGATGGACTTTGGAAAATACATTACAAACTTATTCAACTCGCTAATGAAAATAAGAATAATGAACTCAATAAAACCAAAAAAGCAGTAGAGCGCAACTCTTTTGCAGTTTATGTGTCAGACTCTAGTTCAGAAAATGAGGAGAATGCTTCACCAGTTGCAAAGCGTCGACCAAATTTATTTAAGTTGTGTGAACAGGAGGTTCAAGAAAATTCTTCAGAAGAACAAATGCAGGTTCAACTAGATGTAATCGAAAAGGAGTTTCGACTAGCTCTAAAAACAATTCCGGAAATCCGTTGAATGTTTAAAGAAAAATCATCCAACTTAGACGAGTTTTTAAAACTTAACCCATTAAAATCAATTGAGCAGTTCCCTGAAGTTGTACGGGACGCCTGCCGTGTTGCTTTGTCGCTACCCATATCCCAAGTCAGTGTCGAGCGTCTGTTTTCAGTCTTAAAGCACATGACACCAGACCATCGTAGTCGATTTACGTCTGATTTAATTGATGATATGCTTTTTTTACGAACAAACGAGTTTTTTATTTAAACGTTTTTTGATGATGTAAATATTATAATATTTTGTCCTTATAACTTTTTAATTTAGCGTGTAATTAATGCAAATAAGCATTTAAATCTTTTTATAATTTTATGATCATGTCGTTTCAAATAATCTGAGAAATTGAGTGCGACAATACAAATCAAATAAAAATCTTTGGAGTTGTATTGTTCTTATAAATTCTTACGATCCAGCAAAAGCGGGACAAATTAACTTTTGGGTTTAAGCAGCCGTGGCTCAGTGGTAGCGCACTTTCCTAAAAAAAATAAGGGATCCGTGGTTCAAACCCACCTTTGGTTTTGCGACATCGGTTAGGAAGTAGGAGTGAATTTCCTTTTAATTGCTTTTCTAAGGTGCGCTGTTATAAGACCGTAAGGACTTCTTAGGGTACATAAAATAAATATATATATAATTCATAAGAGAAAATATTATTGGTACCCTTTCATTTTTCCGGAACTTTCGCGTAAAAGTTCCAAATAATAAAAACCCCATATTTAAATGAAGAAAAAAAAAATTATTACGGAGTCCGGAGTCCGGAGTCGGAGTCCGTGGAGTCCATGATTTTTGAGCTCGGAGTCCGGAGTCCCGGAGTCCCAAAAAATCGATGGGACTTCGCATCCCTGATTACCGGTATTGAAATTATTCAGTACCGAAACAATGGTATTGAAAAAAAGTATTGGTATTGGAAGCACTACTTATAGTAAGGGGGGTCTAAAGTTCTATATTATTTGTTTAACCAGTTAAACAAATAATAGTTACTTTCACACTTATTTTGTGTACACGTGTACACAAAAGAAGTGTGAAAGTATAAAAACAACTAAAAAAAAGGTACTCATTGATTTCTATTGGGAACTAATTATTAATTTTAATACATTAATATAAGATAATATATTTCAAAGAAATTAATTTATTCACACAGAAGAACAATCAAAACTATTTCATGTTTTTTAAATGACATTTTAAAATCTTTAATGTTTCTGCATAGTTTTTTATTTTTTTTATTTTTTGTCTAATAATTACTTTAAATGCATAATTTTAACCAGATGTAGTTACGCATCTGATTTTTTTTTGATGTAACTACATCTGCCAAATAAAAAGTTATTGTAATGCATTATTTTAAGCATAATAAATTTTTTTTTTTTAATTTATTTGATGACTGATGACTGCCTGCCCAAACCTAACCCTCAGTCGATGTAGCAGCACTCCGTTGCGAGTCAGGCTATTTGTCAGTCGATGTTGCAGCACTTATACAATATAATAATTATATATGTAACTTATAAATGTAACTTCATCCGGAATTTTTTTTTTTAATAATGCATTATCAGGCCTTGCGATAAATAAGAACTGCGCAACGCATAAGCACGACGTGATTTTTGACGTCATTAAATTCTTTTTATTTGCTTTTCATATTTATCGACATTAACTGCACCAATTTACTTAATTACCGCAAAACTACTTTCGTTTATGTAGAAATGTTTTTATTTAAAAATGTTTTGGAATGTTTCGTTTTTTAAAATGTAAAAAAATTTGTTTATTTTCTCGACGTTTGTCACGTTTTGTCTATACTAAACGAATAAAAAACATTATAACTTAAATTTAAAAAAGATTATAAAATATGCTAATATTTGATTTTTTTTTTCTTAAATATGTAATTTAAAGTTTTTCAAATAATTATTTTTTCTTTTTAAAAAGTCAGCGAGTAATAAACTGGAAATTTTAATATTGTACGATTAAAAACTGTGCAATAGCTAATATTTTTACATGCGATTTTATATAATATTTATTTATTTTTATTTATTTTCATAAAGCGGTTGATAAGCACAATCACTCGTTTTAATAAAAAACTTAAACGAACGTTTTGAATAGATTTTTAATGTTAACAAGGAATTTTATTTCTAGTAAAATAAAATAAAATGTTAGAATAAAAATCTTATAGGTATAAAAGAAATATTTCAGCGAAAAAATTATTCTTAAAAATTATTCTTAAAAATTATTCGAAAAACTATTGACGTTCTATTTTTCAGCAGCTGTTCCTGAGCACGCTTCGTTGAGTTTCGGTAACTTTTAACATAAAAACGATCGTTATTATTTAAGTAATTTTTTTGAGTTACTTTTTACAAAAATTTTAATAACTGTACTTTTTTATTGAATCAAGTAGAATACGTTTTAATATTAATCCTTTTTTATTTTTTTATTTGCCCTCACCAATTTTTTAAATGTTTCCTCGAAATTACTCTTAAATACTTTAAATACGTCTAACAGTTAATAAATATTTTTAAATCTATGGAATAATTTTAAAACCTAACAAAACCCCGTAAAATAATTATTTAAGTTTAAAATCTAAAACTAAAAGAAAGTATTTTTGTTCAATTTTATCAACAACTTTGCTATTGCTGAATAATTTTAATTAAATGTTAGCTTAAAAGATTTAAACTTTTTTTTTATTTTTTGAATTTTTTCTACTTGTAAATAATGAGCATATTTAATTTTTTTAAATTCAAACTTTTATTTCAACTGTGCGCGGTTTTTAAAATACTTTATTAAATGTTAAAATAATCGTAAATTACTTCATTAAAATTCCGCTTAAAAATATTTTTAAATATACTCAAACAAAAAATTTTTTGCTCGACGCAAATAGCCCTAGCTACACGCAAAATCGCTCTTGGACAACGTAAAATTCACATCGCCCGACGCATTATCGCAAGGCCTGCATTATTTTAACTAGATGTAGTTACACATCTGATTTTTTTTTGATGTAACTACGCCCGAAAATTTATTTTATTTAATAATGCATTATTTTAGGCGGATGTAGTTACACATCGAGAAAAACTCTCGGATGTAGTTACATCTTTCTAAAGATGTTATTAGACATCAATGAAATTTCGGATGTTGTTGCTCAGATGTTACATCAGTAAAGAAAAAAAAGCCAATGATCTTACACTAAAATGTGCGGATGTTATTTCACTACTCCACGGATGTTGTTGGACAGATGTAGTAATCTTTTCCCGTTTAACTTAACTGTCAAATTTATTTTAAAATATTGTTCAATATTGTTCAATATTTAAATTTTATTTATTCTTTAAAAAAAATTAGCTCATTTTTATCGCAATTGTTTTTACGACTTTCTTTCTAAACATTTTTTTATTACTCAAAAATAAATTTTAAATAAATGGTTGCATTAAAAATTTTTGCAAGACGTAAGTTAAACTTTTTTTTTATAACGCAAGTTAAATCACAGCAATTATTTTTTAATAAATGATACAGAGATATAATTTCAAACAAATGTTTGAAAAATTAATCTTTGCTTTCACAACAAAATCATTAATAAAATAATAAACTTTTAATAAATAAAGTAAACTAATTAACGCAATTTTTTTATTTGTTACTCTCTAATTTTTTTAAAATATAAAACCATTTGTAGTTGCAAAGCTGCAATTAGAAATTTAAGAAATAATCATTTATAATTCAAAAATTTAACATATTTTTATTCATTTATGCAAATGTTGAGAAAAGAAAGAAATTTATTAATATTAAACATTTTTAAAAATGTGATATTAAATTTAATTATTTAATATTAAAAAAAAAGAAAAGAAAATAAACATTCCCATATAGTAATAATAAAAAAGAAGTTAAATAATATTTAACGTAACTTTTTTATTTTTTACTAATTTTTTTTAAATTAATGTTATTGCAGTAGTTTAAAAAAGTGAATTGCTCTAAAAAATAAAAAAATAAAGAGAAATTCATGACATCAACTTCACATTAGGCTATTGCGTTAAGCATTTTTTATTTAAAACAAGGCCTGATACCTACTGATAGGCAGTGCTAAATCTTTGTTACTTTTATGTTCTTAGGGTAACCACTTATGGAAAAAATCAAAATTATACTTGAAAAAATAATTAAACATTTATAGCAACAACTATATTTTTTTTGAAAAAATAATAATTTACATTAACTTTAAAAGCATATAAGATAGCATAAACAGATGTCATAAAATAAGAATAGATAAGGAGGTTCTATATTTAATCACCAACAAAGAGAAAAAGACCTATACTATATCTTATGACATGATTGTAGCCCTTTGACTTTTTTTTTTTAAAAAACTTTCTAATTTTGACAACAATTTTTCAAAATTAGAAAGTTTGATGTATGTATATATAGCTGTACAAAAAATGTGTATTAGCATGCATTTTTGGCAACAAGTTTTTTTGGCAACAAGTTTTTTTTGGCATGCATTTTCGGCAGTAAGTTCTAAACACATTATTATTAAACTATGCAACAGTCATTACTGGTTATGATCACGAATATTAAACTATGTAGCAGTCATTTATATATACATTTAAAATTTGATTTAAATCAATAATGAAAATAGTAAGATTCAATTAACTTCTAAAAGTTGTTCCATTAAAAAACTTAAAAACAAAATGTTTTCACTTTCAGAACATCTTATTAAACACAAATAAGTGAAAAAGGCATACTTATCAAACCTGAGGTTAAACAAAGACAACAACATATTGCTAAACAGAAAGTATGACAATATCTTTTTAAGAATCTGAAGAATTCAAAAGATTATGTCAAGCAAAAAATCTTTGGTTTTGTTCAACCAAACTGAAATTATTGGGTTTTTTTTTGTTTACATAAAATCCACGGACAGTCAAAATTTGAAGCCAATCTGAGATGGATATAGGTCCATTAGGTGATTTGATATGTAATAACCCTAATTAAATTCAAAACAGATAGAATAGTTGTAATAAAGTGTGACAATATTAATAAATACTTTGTCCTTTTACTGCTAAAAAGTTTTGACTTGTAAAGTGTACAAATGAAGTAGAATTTTTCTTAACGTTATATTTTTATTTATTAATTTTTAATTACTTCATTTCCTTTTCAAAAAAAATTATTTAAAGATAAAAAATTGTATTAGAAAATGTAATTGTCAAATGTAATTCAACAACATTTTTATTTAACATAAGTTATTTAAATGAAGTACTAGATTACTCCAGGTTACACTCGCTAAAAAGTCCTATACTTGCTATAAAGTTGCTATATTCTTGGAGTTCCAAGTAAAAGACTTTATGATGAATGAATTGAAAATTTTTTTTAATTTAATCATTAAATTAAATGAAATTATGTAAAATTTATTTAAAAAAATGAAACCTTCATTATTTAATGCATTTTAAAATTTATTTTTATATCAAATGAAATATTGTTATTTTTAAATTTATTTTTAATTTTATACCAAATAAAATGTTATTTTATACTAAGAGGTTTTATGTTAGCTTAGTAAGAAAAAAAAAATTAATATAGGGGAGAGTGGGGCACCATGAAACATTGTAATTGTGTAGGCATTTTAAGACTTATGTTAACCATTTTCATATGGTGAAACCAGGAATGCGAAGTCAGAGTCCAAGGAGTCCCTGTTTTTACCTTAAGTCCGTAGTACCACCCCTTATAAAAATTGTCAGGACACTGGGATTTTTTAATTTTAAAGGGATCTCC